GTGTTCAAGGCCAGGCTGGACAGGGCTTTGAGCAACATGGTCTAGTGGAAGGTGCCCCTGCCCATGGCAGGGGGGTTGGAACGAGATGATCTTTAAGATCTCATCCAACCCAAACCATTCTATGATTCTATGAAAGCCAAAATCATAAGGATAGATGATTTGCTGTAGAGTAGAATTCAAAATAGGAGCTACACGTGTTTCTGATAGAACTTGATTTTGTTCTGAGTTCCTTAAGTGAATGGTTAAAAATCATTGGAAATACAGTGGAGCATATCTTGCAGAAACATGCAGTTAGAATTGATTTTTTTTTTCCCATCCTTCCACAGAAAACTGTGAAGAAACAAAAAACTGTAGGTTGGACACCATTGCAGGGGTTTAAAAGCATAACTCCTGTGAGCCACGGGAATGGTTGAGATACAGCTTGAAAGCAGAATTAAAGCTGAATGAGCAATAAGTGGAAATGATGTGAATTTCCAATGCTGGAATTACTTGGTCTAAAATTTTGCTCCCACCCCCTTAGGCTCTGTGCGACAAAACTTGCAGGCCAGAGGAAGTGGGGAAGCAGAGCTGGTAAAACACTTTGATACTCCTTAGACACGACAGTTTCTCTGGTAGAATGGCCCCATTATAACCCTTCAGGCTCAGGATGCTCCCCTGGCCCACCTCCCAGCCTAATGCTGGGCTGCCAGAAGCAGGCACAGAGCCCTGCACTGGGCAGCTCCCTTCTACCACAGACTCTGCCAGCATCTTCAGGGGCCTAGCATGGGCCTCCGTGTCTTGCTGTAGAGACTTTTCTCTGCAAAGGAGGCTATAAGGGAAAGGGCTATAGATGTAAATAAATAAACAAACAAGAAGACAGATCTTGGATCTTTGGAAGAAAGTGTCATGGAAAATGGCAGGAACAAACCCCAGAGTGGCAGCGTTTGAGGACAAGAGACTTCTACAAGCTCTTTGCTCCTGTTCCAGCTCTTTTGGTTACCTAAGGTACCAGAAATTATTTTTCAAGCATATAGTGTTTCACATATCTCCATCAAAGAAATTCTCAGTACTGACCTAGGACTGGCCTCGAGTGTAAGAAACCTAGAAACTTGTGAGCAGAATGATCCACTATCTGTTCTACAAAATACGACACAGTTACATCACATCGATACCATAGACACTGACAAGGCAGGTCTATGCTTTCCTAGCTGGATAGGGGACAGAGGATTTTTTTCTCCCAGGAGCAAGGGAGTTGTGAAATTCCTGACAGAGAAACAGAGGAGGAAATAGCTGGAGCAGAGACAGCAAAGGGGGGGAAAAGTTCTGGAGCTGCTGCCACTAGGAAATGGGGAAAGTTTCTGAACACTCCCCTCTCTATCTCAAGCAGTAGCTGCTGCCCTGAACACGTCCATCCTACTTATCAGCAGGGTGTGTGAAAACCCAGTAAACAAATTCGCAGTTCTGAAAATTGCTAAAGGCTCAAATAAGCCACCATATTTTTTACAATTAAAAACACTGCTATACAGTGATAGGTAGGGTTTATGAGGAGATATGGATCAGAACTTGATGGCCATATGTGCTGAACAAGTATAAAGGGTTTGCAGAAGTAGGAAGTCAAAGTGGACAAAATAACTTTATTCTGGAAGGTGAGAACACCCATTTCTCTCTAACTTAATAGAGGAAATTCAGCTAGGCCTCTGTAGATTAATGCACTGATCTTCATCTGTTCTGTGAAATACAAAGATGAATGTTGTGACATTAGAGTGCACACTTCATGTTGAAAGAACAATATTAAACAATAAACAGAGAGATGGCTTTGAATCTTGACACTGACTTAGTACCACCTTTCTTGTAGTGCTGAATTTCAGATGAAACTTTCCAATGCACCTTTCACCCCCCTCCTTTGAATTGTTAAATTTCAAGACCCAAAAGGTTGCCATTTTTTGTAGTGTAAGAACTCAGGAACTGTGTCAGTCCTGTAAGTTTTCTTTGTGTTACATGTCAGCTTGTATTGTATGTAATGTCACTGCAGTGGGGCTACATGATCATTATTACTTCTGCATATTAGCTGGGGGAGTGGAAAAATGACAGATACAGTGGTAAGTTCTGGGAGCTGTTTTTAAATTGAGAAAGTGAGTGAAGCAAAAGAGCGCGTGTGTGAGAGATTTCAGTTCTAAACCTGCACTAAACTCTCTCCATGGCCTTGCTCAAATTACTTGTAAGACACTGTAGTTTTCAGCCCTATCAAATGGTATCTTACTGTGCAAGGATTCCCTCTGAAAGCAGTGGAACTAGCCAGGGATTAAGGCAGTAATCAAATGTGAGCAAAGGGGATAGAACAGACTCTTCACCTCTCTGCTGCTGTTTACCAATTTATAAAATGAGGATAATAAAATTTACCAACTGTTCTGGGTGTTGTAAGAATACATTAGCTCATGCTAGGAAATCACTTTGAAGACAAGCCTAATGTATAAATGCTAAGGATTCTGTCAAGATGGGCAGGAGTGTATTCACAGTTCAGGGACACGTACCAAAACAACGCTTTGAGTGGAGAGTGGGCTGTTGCCAGAATGAGGCTTTAATGATGCAGATGTCTACAATATATCTAAAATGCTGTGTTATAAGTCACCTCATAAAGCCATACAACGAAAAAACTATGAACTGCATGGGAAAAGTGATAGTATGGCACTGCATGAGAGATAATTGATTCATTGTGCTGTTCATCAAGAATTGGTTACATATTGCTGGCTCAAATAGTTCAGATCATACGTGTGAGAAGAAAGTAAGAGAAAACTAAGTTGCAACATAAGACCTCTCATTTTTATGGCTGCTGTGTTTGGTTATTTGCTGTGTCTGTGCAGGATGCATTGTACAGAGGCAGGTTTGCCTTAACCTGTGCTGTTCCTGTCTCCTCTGAACTTTTAATTTTCTATCCCTTTAAAATATGTTGCATTCAGACTGATGAGGCACTGAAAACTGCCACAAATGGTCCTTTGTGAACATGATTGACAGGCTAGGCTGGTAATGCTTTAAAAAAATAAAGCAAAAAGTAAAGTGTTTGCAAACTGAGCTATATTTATTGAAGGTCTTTTACCTGATGATTTCAGTTATTGACTCATGTGAGACAAATACCCAGTCCAGATCCATAAGCTTGAAAACACTTTGTCTATCTCCAAGTACAATTGTGTTTAGTAGGGCCTTAACTCCAGGTCCTTCTAGAATCCCAGAGTGAGGGATCACCAAGGTGATGTAAAGATTCCTCTTTGCCTTCACAAGTTTTAGATCAAGACCTAATGAAAAACTCTGACTTGATATACTGAATGCCACTTGTTTAAGTTTGGTGACAGAAGTCCACCAAAATCCAACACTTCTTGTAATCCCACCAAAAGATGTTACAGAAGTCACTGACAGTGGTAGTTGGGTAGCATTTAAATGAGTAATAGCATAGAAATTAGTTACTTTTCAGAGCATTAAAAATGAACTAACAGCAGAGGTCTTGTGTACTCTGTGAGAGTTTTTTCTTGAGGCCAACCTGAGTGATAGCTAATCACAATGCTAGGCAGAGATGGAAGGCAGCATTCATCTGGAGGTCGGAGTGAGAAGGATTAGAATTTTTGCATTTAGAAAAAAGATCAGTAAATAATGGTGATCAATATACCAGGAAACCCCCAACATTGGTAATGATTTCAGATTGGTACTATCCTAACTCCAAAAGCTTTCTCTTTGCTTTTCTCCTTTGGCTTGTCTGTAGCCAATCAGAAACATGCCGTCTTCTCCCCTTCTTCCGTCTCCCTCTGAGACTGTCCCAAAATGACATGAAGCACAGAATCACTTACAGACTGTGAGTAAAGGAAACCGTTGTTGGTGCAGGACATGGAAACTGGCACTGCCCGCTCCTTTTTTTTCTTCTTCCTTCTCTGCAGTTGTACATGTCAAAGAGTTTAACTGTGGAGAAAGGAGCTCCTTGAGATGGTCCCAATCTTGTATGCAATAGGATGAAATTTGGATAAGAGTGCTTAGGAGTAACTGGGTGGAAAGCTTTCCTTTGGCAACATCTCATGGAGAGAATGGAACAAAATCCTGAAGGGAGTTAGACTCAATTTGACTTGGTATAGCCTTAGATTATTGATCTTGGAATTACCCTGTTCACCTCATATCTACCCCCCAGGGAAAGGATCTATTCTGTATTTCCATCTCTGATTTCCATGTTACTGTAAAAAGCCCATGGTCTGTCAGCATGGTAATAATTTAGTGGAAACTCTTGTATAAAGAGAGATCTTGATGGGAACTTCCTAAAAACATAGATGTGGAATTATGCAGTGTCTTACATTGATACAGATACATTGTGACTTCTGTGTGCTGAATGGGTGAACAAAATACATTTAAAAATGTACTATAGCATAGCGTAGGATTGCCTCTAGAACTTGACAAATATATCCGACTCTGGTCACTATAAATTTTTAGGGTATCTCTCTGAAGGAAAGGGATGTGCTACTAGGTCCTGATAACCTCCACAAATCATTCACGAACACCTTGCTGAATCAGAGTGTATGAGAAAGCAAGCATCTACTGCTGATAATTTGAAAATCTCCTCCTTTATTATGCAGCCAAATCTCACCAAAGCCTTATGTGGGAGTTCATCGTAACAGATGCCGTCTGCCACAGGCCGTCATGGATGCCAGATTTAATGTCCATACTAGCAAGAGCGCCCTTATGCCGCCTCTCCCTCTTTGGCTCTCCTGTTCGCTGGCCTCCCCTTCTTAGCAACATAAACTTTGACAAGAGAAGGAACCCGGCACCTTGTGAGTTCTTCCAGCAGGCAGTGAACTTGATTCGGCCTTGCAGTGATACCATGTATTGCATCACCAGCGTCTGGAATTGTTCCAGCAAAGCAACTGGCTTAACGGTTTGGGCAGGTAGCCACTTACTTACTGCACGTAACCATCTGGAGGCCGGACAAGCCGTGCCCCAGGCCTGGCAAACGGAAAAATCCGGACACCAAGTGTGAGGCTGGGGATTAAATGAGAGAGCAGAACGCAGCATGCCCCGGGCATCTCAATGACCGGACCTGGCCGCGGACGCGGCGCGGCTCGGCCCGGATTGTGTGCGCCAGGGGACATCGGGATCCCCGATGTCCTGCCCCGCCGCCGACGCGTCGCCCACAGCCCCCTCCCCCGGCACCGACAACGGCGCTGCTCGGTGTTCCCCCAGCCCGGCTGCGGCCCAGCCCAGTGGCACCGCAGCGGCAGCGCGGACACGCGTGTGCCGGCGCAGCCGAGAGCGGAGCTGCCCTCCCCAACGGAGGGGCCGTGCGCGCTGCCCGCACTGGGAGCGCGGCGCGGTGCCGGCGTGCCCGCTGCCTACCGGGAGCCACGGGCTGCTGGCAGGCGGTGGCGTTACTTAACCCCCGCGCTGTCATCGCTCGGGAGGGGCTCCCGCCGCAGGGAGCGGCAGCCCCGAGATGCGGCCACCCCACTCCCCTACCCCCACGCCCTCCGCCGCGGCTTAGCAGGGTTCAGGAGCGCCGCAGCGATCCCCATCTGCGGCCAAAGCCGTGGGAGTGTGACCCCACATGGAAAGAAGCCCGCTCCCTCTCTCTTCGGCTTTATAATATATATATATATAATATATATTTTTTCCTTTATTCTTTGTAAGCACCTTCCAGCGCTAAAAAAAAAAAAAACAAACCAAAAGCCAAACAAAAAAGGCGTTGCAGCATACTATACATCAAGAATTTGCTACTGAAGAACATCTAGCCACGCACCAGAAACACTTCAGCATGTACCCGAGCCTAAATATATTTGGAAAGATGGGGGGAGGGCATTTTTACCCGGCTTTAATCACTGCCTGCTTGAAGAGAGACAGAAATAATTGAGACTGGAGGGGGGTGGGGGGGGGAAGCCTCCCCTCCCCCCGCCAGAGCAATCATAATACATTGAAATTTCCCAAAGTCTAGTCAGCTGCAAAAAATAAATGTTTCTGGAGCTAGAGGATCATGTTGCAGAACTGTGTGACTGCAAGACCTAGATTCCTTTCCCCTCTCCCCCGTCTCTTTCCTTAGGTGTTTTTTAGTATTATTATTTGTTTTGGGAGGGGAAAAAACATCTTCGCTTCAGTCTCTTGCTAGAGGTCCAGACTGCTTACGTCTGAGCGCCCCTTATCATTTCAGTGAATGGCAATTGCAGCCTTGGTGCTGTTATAGCAATGAAGCTACAGACGTCATTGCCTCCTGTTGGACGTGAGATGTGTCCAAGCATCAGCCCCTTTCGCTTAAGAAAAACTCTTTAACTTCCACGCAGCCGAGAGGCAGGCTTGTCTAAGATCCTGTGGACCCAACACTGTACCGATAGAGTTCTATTTATTTATATATGCCCATACACATACACAGGTGTGCATGTGTATGTGTGTTTGTACATTATGTATATAGAGAGACAGAAATAGATGAATTAAAGCCGCAGCTATATTGCAAGCTCCTCTCAAATATCCTGCTCGTCAGAGTAGCTCTCTGCATCGTTTTGTTAAAATCAGCCCAGCGGGAAAGCCATCATCAATCAATTTCGGGTAACAAGGAAGACTTGTTGAACACCTTGTTCTCCAGACCCCGGGAAGATGCTGGGCTGCTGGAGCATGGAAGAGCCGGGATTGTGCCCTGAACTTCACCCACTTGGCAGCCGCTGTTCCTAAACCATTTCCCCTCTCCTCCCCTGCCTCTTTGCTTCTCGGACTGAGAAATCTGCTCTTTAAAGTTGATCTGAAGGGGAAAGCAGAGACGAGCTTGTGCATAGTTTGGAGGGTAAGTTGTGTCCTCGCCCCCCCCTCCCCCATCCCCCCCCCCCCCCCCCCGCCCGCGAGTGAATAGCCGCTAGCCAGCTTTGAAATCGTCCAGGAACGGGGGCAGGTGGCGGGAGGGGGGGAGTGGGAGCGACACATCTGCACCCGGGACCGAAAGGGTTACAGACGGAGCGAGAAAGACGGACCGACCGACTGCGGGGGTACTGACTTCACGGCGGAGTTTGCCAGGTGCGAGTTATTCGTGAATGTTCCCAGCCGGCTGCGCAGCTCGGCAGCACCGCACCGCACCGCACCGCACCGCACCGCTCCCGCAGGTGCCGGGCGGGGTGGCCGCAGCCCGCCCGAGCCGAGCCGCGCTCCTGCCCGCAGCCAGCCCCGCGCCCTCGCCCGGCCCCGGCAGCCTCCGGGGAGCTTAGGATCCCCGGCTCCCAGAGCACATGACCCTTGCAGGGAATTTAGCCTCCCTGCACCTGCAGGCTCTTGTACATCCCTCCTCCTTCTCTGCTCGGGGTTTGCTTTTTAATCCTCTCATCCCCCCCCGCTCTCCACATTCCCCCCCCCGCCTCCCCATCCATTCAGCTTTTACCTTTTTTTTTTTAACGAGAAGGAATCCCAGCAGGGAAAAATACCAGTCAGATTCCTCCTTTCTCCCTCTCCCCCCCCCCCCCCAATAAAAAAAAAAACACGCACCACCCGCTAACATTCGGAAAAACAACAGAGAACTATTGCCTCTCTTTAATTTTCACTCACACACTCAGATGAATGAGCAAGTAAGGGAGAGACCTCAACAGCCCCTTTAGACGTGGGGCTGAATTGATGGGATTGTGATTTGTAGGATTTCTCCACTTAGTCCCTGCCTCCTACTTGCTCTTCAGCCACTCCAAAGTCTCTTCCCCTCTCTTTAAGCAGCGATTTCTTTCACTCTCTCTCTCTCCCTTCCTGTGTCTCTCTCCCTCACACTCTCCCTCTCCCTCCACATACACTCATCTCCCCGGAGAGAGAGAGAGAAGAGAAACTGAACTCCCAAACACCGACCAGATGTCGAAGAAACGCAAAGCCCTGGAGGGTGGCGGAGCCCGGCTCCCCCCCGAGGACCCCAGAGCCTGCTTTGGGGCCGGCGAGGAGCAAGGTAGGGCGGCGGAGGCCTACAGGTGGCCGGGCGGTTGGTTGGCAGCTGGGAGCCCACTGCAGGGGCACGTCAGCCTGGCAGCCTCCTGTAGCCCACCAACACTGGGGTGGCTTTGTCAGTTAGGCCAGGCTGCACTCACCACCGGGCTCAAACTGTAGGGCTGTGCCCACTGCATTGACACTGAACTTCTGAGAGGGGAAGGGTTAAGGGGGGCAAGGGATGTGGGATGATGGCTGAGGCAGTCCAGGCTCCCTTCCCCTCTACAGTTTGTCCCTAGCATGGGCATAGCCACGGTGCCTCACTGATTTGTAGCTTGTGTGCAAATCTCTTTGCAGGGTGATCCTAGCTGGGGCAGCAAATGAGCTATAGGTACCTAAATATACATTGTGGTTTTGCGTGGGTCCAGTTTCCTTCAGCAAGCCCCCGTCCCTTGTGTGATTTTCGTTGCGTCATGCTGAGGTTTCAAACGCTGCACTTGCAGTGCGCTTTGCATCCAGCTAAAGTTGGTTTTTCCTCAGCCTTGGTGCTTTGCTGTAATTTTCAAACTCCAAGTATTTGTGGTGAAAGCTACTCTGTACTTTTTGACAAGATAATATCAATGTAGCAGCCGAGTGGTGTAAAATCAGCAATGCACACAAGTGTGAAGGAGTTCTGCAGCCGGATTTCTTGTTGTTAAGCCATCCCAGTGGGTTCCCTTCCTTTGTGTGTGTTTTGACTAAGTGGGCCCAGATGAACCAGGCTGAGCTACAGGGCTCTGGGCTTGTGGCTGTAATGCAGAGAGGAGAGAAAAATGCGGTTTTGATTTAGAGCAGTGTTTCAGGCTGTTTCAAATGGCTCTGGAGGCCATGGTGGGAGATGGTGGGGGTGAGGTGGGTTTGGATGACAATGTGAATATGTCTCTGTGTGTGCTTGAACTCACAAGTGTGGTGCTTTTGCCTGGGCAGGTGTACACAGAGCAGAGAGGGATGGAATGAGTGTGATCTCCAGCACGGTGTCTGTGACCCTTTATGTGAAGGATCATAATGTCACAAGTCGCCCAGATCATGAAATTCACAAACCACCATGGATGTTTTTGCTTTTTGCAAGGATATGTCTCCAGCACAGTGACTGGTGTGCTCTACTGGTTTCATGAGAAAGGAGCACTGGTAGTGATTCACCATTTCTCTCAAAAGATATGGTTTAGGGTTTATGTGATTGTTGGTTGTAAATTGCTTGGCTCTCCCACAAGAAAATAAGATCCACATTCATGTTTTCTTTTAATTTCTTTGCTTAAGACCAATCTTGACATGGGAGGGACATTTTCAGACCCTGTGAATGACTTTATTTGCATGACAGCATTCAGTGTTTTTGCAGTGTGGAATTTTGCTGTTACTAACCTGGAAAATCTTACCTATTTGTCAGCCATAAAGAAGGTTAAACACAGAAAGGGCATTCAGCAGAGACCTGGAAGTTGGCTATAGATTACATGTAATTTTAATTTAAATGTATGCCAACAGTGGGTGTAGGAGCACCTTACACATTATTGTGATGCAGTGATGTGTGCCTGGTTTTAATATTTGAGAATGCCTTTTATTTTATTTTATTTTATTTTATTTACTCCACAATAGTATTCTCTTTAACACTTCTGGTTATGTAACAAGAAACAGAAGACAAAAATACAACTTTAAAACAAGACTGGTTTTCCTTTATTTCAGTGTGTACAAAAAAAGGCAAATTGAAAGAGAAAAAATACTTAATAAAGCATTGATGTGTATTTAAAGAGAGTAAATAAGGTATCATTTCCCTGGTAAGGGGACACAAGGCATTTTGTAAATCAAACTGATTGAAAGCCTGTGCTTGCACCTAGGTAATCCAGGCTCGTGTCATCTTTGCCACACTAAATTATGAAATTAAATTATGACTGTAGTTTTATTTCTGAACTCAAATTTATTTATGTGAACTTCTGTTTATTTTCTCCCTCCGATTTTACAGGAAGGAATGTTGCTTGTTAATTACATTGGCTGTGCCTACGTAACTGTAGAAACCATTAAGAGTGTGCAATGTATCACAATGTTGTAGGGAATGTATTTTGTGTGAAATGGTGGATATGAAGCTTTCTTAAAGCATGAGATGTACAGGTAATTTTTTTGGATTAATGTGAAGTATTTCCCTTTGAAGCACTGCTCTTACAGCAGGTTTACTACCTCTGTGGAGAAGGCATGCTAGTTTGGAGGGAGACTGCAATATTTGCCCAGAAGTATGGAAAAGCCATGTAACTCCTGGGGTTTAGTGTTAAAATGTGTGTGCATTGGGAGCAGGGAGGCGGGGAAGGGGAAATGGGCATTCGTAAACCAAGGGAAGAAAAATAGAGAGCTCAGATTTCTGGAGGCTGCCAAATCCTGTATTCCTGCAGAAGCCGAATGCAGAAGCCCTGCTGTCCTCGGCTAACGAGGTGACTTCTCTCGGTGACAGAAGTGCGAGTGCATGAAAGCCTGGATCCAGGACTGCCATCTTAAATCTCTGTGTCACCTGAACAGTGGAGGGCATACGTTGGTTACAGATGAATCTCAGACCATTCTGAGGGTCCACACTACTGTTTTTAAGTCTTAAGAGAGTGCAGACTAATTCTTAACTGCTCCAGACTGTGCTGGATATATGGCCAACTGAAGTGTGCGCTTGCGGAGTTTAATTCAGCTCTTGTTTATCCTCACTTGGCAAAGCTGTGGGTGGACAGACAGTATGTAGGCCATGATACAGATTTTTCAGACTTCTCTGATGTGGTTTTGTTTTTATTCTCCTTCAAAGTATTTTATGAAGGACTCTCTAATCCATACTTTAACCTTGCCTTTTATTATGGGGTCTGATGCTGTGCGTTTGAAGCCTCACTGGTGTAGAAAGGAGGGATGAGAGTACTCAGCATCTCCGATCTTCTCAACAGAGAGAACCTGAACCTGTCAAACTCATGGCACTTCACTGCTTCACTTTACTGAAAGGGGAGCTCCTAAGGCTCGTTCCCATGATCTGTGGAGACATAGTGGCATTTCCAGTGAGAATTCAGTTTCTTTCCTGAGCCTCTCAGAGGTGCCCCTTTCTTTCCATTGACTGTGCATGGGGCCTGGGATAACTACACTGGTTTATTTGTACCAGGCACAGTGGCAGGAACTCCAGCAAAGCTGATAATTAGATATGGCAGCTCAGTGTCATAGCCAGCATGGAGAAGGTGGGATTTGTCTGTTGAAATGCAGCTCTGTGCACTCCCTTTATAAGCAGGAAGCAGAACATTTCTAGGGAGCAATTCATCTCTTCCTGAAGTGGAAGTCTACATTTAGTCAGCAGAATCAGATCTGAGAAGTGCTGTTTCTGCCAATTATAAATATAAAGGTAGTCCAAACATCTAGCATGGATATAGACAGCTGTATTTCAGCAGATGACTCCTGCCTTTTGACCAGATCTTTCAGGCTTCAATACAAGTCAAATGACAGAGACATTTTTCAGCTGCATTTGAAGCAGAGGTCTTCCCTTCTGGTGATAACCCTTTTCCTCAAAATTGTATCTCCCCCCCCCCAAAAAAAAAAAATCAAGAAGGATCCTGTTTTCTGTGAATCGCTGTTTTATATGAATGTGTTGAAAGTAATGTGGAAGATGTGAAAATGGAGAGTGTTGGTTTAAGAACAACCAAATAAAATGTGGACACTTCCCAAGACTGATTCAACATGAATTTGTGCCTAAATTATTTGGTAATGCTGCACACAATTATCCAGCAGTTCCTGGATATAATGTAATGCAGGATTTTGGAAATTTTCTTGCAGGGACTTTTGAGCATGATGGCTTCAGGGAGGGAAGAACCTCTAAATTCTGATTGGGAGGCTCTCTCTTGATTTTGCTTGCATATGAAAATAAATGTATTTCTTCTTCCATCTGTGGTCCAGTGGTTCAGAGTGCTGCATGGTCTCCATTGTCAGAAATATGAGTGGTAGTTGAGATTTTTCTGTGCTTTACAAAATTGGTCTCTCAGTTGAATTCCTGCCTGCCCAAGAGTAACTTGTAAGATGTGATTACTTCATTTGAGTTCAGTAGGACTGGCCATATGTGCATAATCATGTGCAAATGGAAGCGTCTGCCAGATTTTGAGGGTCTTAGTTATTACTAACCAAAGACTTCTTGAGGGTCACTTCTATGTAAAGGATACTTCCCTAGGAATACTAGTGGGAGCATTTTATACTAAACTATCCTCTCTGACTAATACTAGATGATTTGCATGTGTGCTTAGCATTCACATTTGTCTTGAACTTTGGTATTAAGTTACTGATTGTTATTAAATCTTTATTTGGGATAATCGGACACAGGAAACCAAGTTCTGTCCTGTTATTCAAGGCTTATATTGATGTATGGAAATCAGAATTGAGCCCTACTTCAAAATTACAGTTTCTCCCCATACTCTGTCTTCCTCAGT